GTCCTTCCTCATTTACAAACTACTACATAACAAATTAATATTCTATATTATTGCAATACTGTGAAGAGCCTATCTGAACAATGAGCACTTTTACTTTGAATTGCTTTAAGTACATTTAGCCGACTTTAGCTGCTTTTATTAAGTAACATGTTGAATCAAGGAATTTACACATATAGTAAATTGAGACTGTAGTATTTCTTCTTTTACTAAAGGAATAGATTCAAGTACTCCTTCCAACACTCTCCTTCTGGCTGCTCTGTGATATCAGTGTTCTATACTTTCATCATGTTGCCCCCCCCCCACGCCACCTCACTTCCTGCTTCACAGCAGAGTCGCAGAGCCGGTTTCAGTGACAGTCTTGAGGGCCATTCCTGACACCATTGTGGTTCCAGTCCACATGCCTTACATATGGGTGTCTTAACGGCTACAGTTTAAACACTATACTGTGGTGACACCTGCTGTTGTTTTTGGGGTTTAAACGTGATCGCCATGTCTTGATATAGCGACATCTTCCCTGCCAACTGCTATCACCTTTATAGCAGTACATTCAATAGGCTTTATTTTGTCATAAGCCCAACAGCTGGCAGCGTAGTTTGGCTTTAAAAGGGACATATCATCTAAATGCACTTTGTTGTCTTTTTATACACGAATATGTGTCCCTGGTGCATCAGGGAACTCACCAAGTGTCAGAAAACCAACCCTCTCTCTTTCCTCCATACCCAATCTCTAAAAACGGGGCTGCAACGGATCCTGATCCAAATTTGAAATGTTCTGAAGTCAGAACAGGGTGCTCGCCTATATGGGCACTCTCCAACCTATCAGGGGAATGAGAGGTTGCGTGCATGGTAACAGCATGGTAACAGCATGGTACTGCGCAGCATGGTAACAGCATGGTAACAACATGGTAACAACATGGTAACAGCATGGGTACAGCAGCATATGGTAACAGCATGGTCAACAACATGGTAAACAGCATGGTAACAGCATGTAACAGCATGGTACCACGCATGGTAACCAGCATGGTACACAACATGGTAACAACATGGTAACAACATGGTAAACATGACGCTTGTGCCCCGCCCTCCTCCTTTGCAGGGGGGCGTGGTCAGCTGCAGCTCATTTGCCACAGAATCGGCCCTTGTGAAGACAGGGCTGGAATAGAGCGAAATGAGGCATGACTAAAATGCATGATCTGTTTGGTATTTTGAAAAAAAAACTTCACAGACATGTTTTATATAGGTATTCAATATATTATTCAAATATATCATGATAGGTCCACTTTAAGTCTCGCGCTCCAACAATGCAACATACGATAAACGTGAAGACATAAAATAGTGCAATAGTCAAAATGGGTCAATTTAAGTTGCATAAATAAGAAAAATATGTATATATAAAATAGAATTATATTATACAGAATGAAAAATGCAGAGTAGAAAAAATAGTGTAATAATATAAACATATAGATATCAAGACTACAAACAGATGTATAATTGAACAGTGTATTATGAACGTACAGAATGTGCATGGTGACACTTCACAGAGCTCAGGAGTTTAACAGTCTTACTCCCTGACTTGTATTTCCAGCACTCATTTTAAAGGCTTTATGTAACAGTTGCTCCTTGGCGGTAACCCGTGAAGTGTAAACACACCGCGTGTTTATCATGGTTATGCAATATTTGACGTCTCGCAGCGGAGAAAGCGTGACGCGCTGGGACGACTGGGACTGGGACGGCTGCTAGTGGAGCCTCGCAGCAACTCTGCTTTCTGCACCACAATCTGGTGCTGCTGAATTGGGACTACTAAATGAGTGAGACTCAAATATCAGAAGTTCAGAACAAGTTTTAGTAGTTTTTTTTTTACTTCATTTACTTTACTCAGGGTCACAGAGAGGGAAACCAGTTTTAAGATGTTGAAAAGTTAATTAAACATAAAAAGGCATTTCATAGAAGTTCTCTTATTCTACATTTTGACACAAAGATTTTCTGATTTTACTGCAAATGTATTATCGGTTCCAAATATCGGTTATCGGTCTCCTTGATTACTAATAATCGGTATCGGCCTTGAAAAAGCCATATCGGTCGATCCCTAACGCTCACCCATTTTAAAGTGTCCTCTCTCTCATGATATCACAACGGGTCTGTCAGCTTTCAGCGGCAGATTGATAACCGCTGCCCTTGTCCTTGCAGGCCGTGCGCTACCTGGCAGAATGTCGAGCCAACAGGGAGAAGATGAAGGGCGAGCTGGGCATGATGCTGAGCCTGCAGAATGTCATGCAGAAGCAAGTCCCTGTCACACACACACACACACACACACACACACACACACACACACACACACACACACACACACACACACACACACACACACACACACACACACACACACACATGCTCACTGTGCACTTTCTTTACGTAAAACCATAACCTAGTTTTTCTTTGTTTTGCACAGACAACGTGTGCCAGTCTGCAGATTTTCTCGTTAGAATGATGTCCTTTCCTTCGCCATGTCAGGATGAATGTGATTAAAGATGAATTAGAGCGGGGTGCTAAACAGTTAAACTGCTGTTTCTGCAGCTTTATAGATTTGAATGTGTCTTGCCACATCTACATTTCATGTTGAGTCCACTTGCATGTGTTTAGCTTATATTTGCACTTGTTTTGTGGTGGAGTTAGCGGGTTAGGTGCAGAGGTGGCTCATTTTGTGCAAGCATATTTCTTAGTTTTGTATCATTTGTAGGCTTTCTACATAATATGTGTTTATATATAAAACACAGTCTGGTCAACCATTAAAGCTACTACATTTATACTGCGGGTAAAACTTGGAATTTCTTATTTATTGCATATGTGATTGAGTATGAACCGCACAAATCATAAAATGTGATCTTTTCTGATTTGGGCCACCTTTTCTTATGTTGTACTAAATCATATCCAGCTCTGATCGTTAACTTGTCTTCTGATCGACATTCGTCACAATTTTGCGTCTTTCCGAGAGGCGTAATCCCACCACTCCTGGCTTTGACCCGGCATCCACACTAACTCCAAAGTTGTAGCAGCTATTCCTACACACAAAGCCATTATTAAAAACTTGGATCCCTAGTACCTGCTTGTGGCTTTCTTGTTTTTTCGGGTCAGTTCAGGACCGTAAGAAGCTCACACTGGAACCTGATATTAGCCACTTCATATCTGAGCAATACATCAGAATTGAGGCTTGCAGTGTGAACGCAGCCTCAGTGTTTTGGCTGGTCTGTGTTGAGGAGGTGTTGTGCTCCAGATAGCTTCTCTCACCAGAGAACACTAAGCGACTGCAGGTCATCATCAGCACCCTGATAGGAATAGACCTAATGTTTAAGTGGCCGGCTATAGCCTGTATGATTACACCCCGCCCCCTCCTCCTCGTCCTCCTCCTGCGGCAGAGCTCTCTTTCTCACCCTGGAATGAGCGCGTCACGTTAGCTCGTCAGGCATCAGAAGCCGCCCTGCAGGAACAGCTTCAGTCAGGCTGACTTTGGGTGGAGGTCGATCATAGCCGGACGGAGTGGCAACACATGGCAGAGGAGGGGGGGGGGTCCAGCATAGTCGCACCAAACGGGTGTTTTTATTTACTTTGCACTCAAGATCTGAAGCTCAAGCAGCCTCTTATTAAATGCATGGAAGTAAAGAATAGAGTGAAATATCAAAGAGGGTGGCCTCTATGGATTTGGAGCAGGATGTGTTGTTGGGGGTGGGTGGGGGGGGGGGGGGGGTACCCAACACTCCCAGAGGGCAGCAGCTCCAGACAGATGGTGTCGTGTATGGTTACTATAGAAGGACTGATGACTTGACATATGAAGCCTGCAGGTTTATCTCAGGATCCCTCTCATAACATCAGCAGCCCCAACTGACCTCACGTGGCTCCTTCATGGAAATCCACCCACTAAGAACAACATACGATCACATATGTTCCTACAAACGTAAACCACAGTTGACAAATTCAGTAATGTTTCTTCTATGATCTTCTCCCTCTCTCCCTGAAGGAGTACGTCGCCCGGGGAGACCAAGCTGCTGGCCTCTGAGATCTATGAGATCCTGCAGCTGGCGGGTAAAGAGGAGGCGGAGCAGGCGGAGGCGGCCGCTGCGTCCTGCCAGAAGAAAGCCCAGTTCTTCCTGGGCTCCAGCAACAAGAGGGCCAAGACGGTGGTGCTGCACATCGACGGACTGGACGACTCAGTGAGTGTCCCACGGGCTGCATTCAGCACTTATAGGGAGAGACTCCTTCTTTCAGAGTAGGGTAGTAATGGGTTATTATCCATAGGTAGTATTAGGAGTGTCACAGTATACCGGTATGCTACAGGGTTATTATTGAATCATGTTATTATTATCGTGTGTATAATCTAACCTCTTTTCTTTTATTCATTTTTCATGCTCTCTTATTGAGATTGAAATCCATTATGCAAGAGATTTCAATCTCAATGTATGCTTTTGTATATAGTTTATGGCTGGAGACTCTCTTGACCTTCGTACACTTGTATTTTTAGTGTAATTAATTTACCAAAAAGGGACAAAATGCTCAAAACACAAAATTAAATATGATTTTGACTTTTTATCTAACACTTTTAATGTTCTTGGCCATGATAAGGATGTAGTGACAGCCCCTTACTGTTTGCCCTTGCTGTCAGTCACCCCTTTCAGACATGGAACTGAAACCGTTTGAAACTAACATATATTTTCTTTAAAAGCCAGCAGACGCCTTGGACAAAAACAATAATTTTAGCAGACAGAACGCAGCAGTTGCTGGTTTACCGCTGCCATTATGAAGTCAGTTTGACACACCCAGACCAACTGAGGGATCAAGTACTTGATCTTGTCCTGCGAGGTTAAATGACTGCTTCTGTCAAAGGAGTCTGGTGGCGCTTTGCAAGGTGCTTTGCCACCATGCTCTGACTTCATCTGCTCCTCGAAACTATACACACCAAACATTATTGATGCAAAGACATCTCTCTTTGTGCTGTAGTGTTTGCCGCTGTCATTACGAGTGTTGTCAGTGCAGCTTAGCCATATCTATGTGGCACGGGTTGGGGGGTGTAGGGGTCAGGTTGTAAATGTCAGCCATTGATCAGCAGGAGGCTGGGATTGAACCTGAACGCTGCTCTGCAGGAAGCTAGCAGCTAGCCAGATTACATTACAGCAGACAGACGGCCTCTGGTGGGCGGCCGCACTATCACTGCAGCAGACACACACACACACACACACACACACACACACACACACACACACACACACACACACACACACACACACACACACACACACACGTAACTACTACGTAATAATCGTACTACGACTAACGTAACGTAACGTTACCTACGACACGACGACAACACACACACACACACACACACACACACACACACACTACACACTCTCTACTCTCTACTACACACACGACGACTACACACACGACACAACACACACGACACGACACACACACACACACACACACACGTNATTTTAAACACTTCCAAACATCTAAGGGCTGCCACTTTTCTCTGTAATTTATTGATTGCTGCGTTGTTGCCAGTTGGGATACACACTCCCACAGTTGCACACACACACACACACACACACACACACACACACACACACACACACACACACGCTGTTTGCTATGGACTTTGCAATATGTCCGAATGCAGCATATGTATTATGTGTATTTTTATCACTCTTAACTATATTTAATTGTATTCAACTCCCTTGAACATTGTACTTCTAATACTATACTACTACTATTTTACTCTTGGCTGATAAAGTAAATCAGATGTTTTGGAGTTATTAAAGGTAGGAGAACCTGCTCCCTTCAGTCCTAGCTCTTAGAGCAGAAAGTTAGATATCAATTTATTTATTGGTATGTGAAACTGGAAAGTCATTGATATTGGTCTTCTTCATTACAAAAGCAGAAAATAAGCGTTCTCATACATTTACAACCTTTGTTGACGCTGCTCGTCAACCTATAAATGATTATTTAAACCAGAATTGACCACCAACATTTAATAAAACCATAATATTATTTATATTATTATTGTTTTAGCTGAAGACAGAAAGAGAAGAGTCACAAATAAGTGTTTCCTTTTCCTCACAGGCGTTGGGCACAGCCATCAACTCCACCAAAGTGATGACGGCTCAGCAGGTGGTGAGGACGGAGAATGGAGCCGAGGTAAGGGCAGATAATAAGAGAGAAAGAACTGTATTGTTTACTTTAAATTGCTGTGGACTAATTTCCCTGGATGTAGTGTAAGCTGTGTGTATCTGTGTGTGGCCGCCCTTGCCTGCGGCTGAGACTCATTCACACTGACATGATTAGCTAGTCACATCTCTGCCTCCGCCTCCAGGCTACTCCCTTTTTGCCAAACACACACCAGTCCCAGTCGTACCATTTCCCAGCAGTGTGTACACTTGAATTTAGTGAAGCTGTATTTAAAACTCATAAATCAAGTGGGATTCCAAAGTGTTTGTTTTCCAATCATTTGTTAATTGTTCTTTTAAATATTAAGAAAGAGTTGCTGCATTTGAACAGTCATACATAAAGTGGCCAGCAGGGGGCAGACCAGGCTCAGACATGTAATCTGACTGTGAGGATGATGATGACGGACAAATTACACTAAAAACAAATATTTCTCTTTTGTCTTTCCGCAGAGGATCTTGGCGTTCAGCGAGGACTCGGAGGAGGCGGTGGAGGTGAACGAAGACATCCCAGAATACCTGCCCGAGGAGGAGAGCCCGTCCGAGGAGCAGGACAAGGCGATGACACGCGTCGGCTCCATCACAGACGGCATGGGCTGGCTCAACACGGCCGCCAACTTCCTGACCCGCTCCTTTTACTGGTGACCACTTCCTGTCTCTCTCTCTGCTCCTGTGTCTCCTCTAAAGTACCATCCAGCTGCAGCCTTAGCGTCTCTCAGCCTCGGACTAAGCCAACACTAGCGTAGCCCCCCCCCCTCACTTCGCTAAGCACACCACGAGCGTGCAACAAGTGCTGGACTGCCGAGTGGAACCTGCAATAACTTTAACTTGTGTATATATCCAGCTACATCTCACCACTACTGGCTTTTATGTGCAGACCTAGCTGCGTGTGTATTCCAGCAGACATAGAGGACTACAAATCGTACCAAACCAAATTCTGGACATATTTCATTCTGGCTGATTCATTAGAAATTGGAAGTTCTTGTTTTGTTTTTTTTGTGTGTGCATGGTTTTTGGTTGCTTTTCCTCATCGTGTCTACTCCCTATCCTTTTGACTATACATTTTTTTCTTTTCCCCTACAGTTTTATTTAGCATGCTTTTTCGTCTTTCGTGCCAACCTCGCCTGATGCCTAGATCTGTGATTGTTGTGTGTGCCTTTTTGACATTTAACTTTAGCTATATATTTAATATTATTTTTTCCATCGTTCGTTTAAATCATGTGAGAGTCAGATGTAACAGCTGTGCGGGGCGGCTCTTAGCTTAGCGCGGGACGTCTCCTCAGTAGAAATAGTGAACTAGTCACCGGCTCTCATGCATTACATACTGAACGATAAACCACCACTAACTACATTACCTGAACTCCTCTGGACTGATCCAATCACAGCAGCAGTGATTTGATTGACAGCGCTTTGTGTTTTTGCACACACGTTAGGCTACCTCTGCTTTCACATCAGCTTTATAGTCTTCTGTAGTTTCCCTCCCTCAGCATGTCAAATACCAACGTGTCAGCTGCCTGCTTATTGGACCCTTCCCTGGACTCCCACTCCCACTGTTACAGTATCATCGCCCCACCTGTTTAATCTTCAGTTTAGCCAGCAGTGTCCTTACAGCAAACATCATGTCGCTACACACACACACACACACACACACACACACACACACACACACACACACACACACACACACACAGGACTCGCTGTGCAGTAGTGGAAAACTGGAACAACGGTGTGGTTATGTACATTTTGTAAATGGTGCCTGATTCCCTAAAGTCTCGGAGCCTACATGTGAAGGATTGTTCAGTTTTTGTAATTTGATTGGATGCCACAGAACAGCTAATGCTTAGTGAGTTTATTCCTTTCCTTTAGACTTTACGACCCCATGACTCACACCAGGTTTTAATCATGATCTCCTCCGACTTGTGTGAGTGTCATTAATAATTATAATTTCCGCTGCTGACCAGGCCACTTTTATTGTTCTGATGGTGCATAGACGTCACAGTCGGTCGAGGTCAAACAGATAGAGGGTCGGCACAGATCGACCTGAATTAATCACCACTACTCTCTGGAAAAGCAATAATATTTTTTGCGTTAAATGTAGAAATAGATCAGTCTTTAAAATAATGTTTTTGGATAAAAGGTATTAGTTAAGATTATCATCAGTATTACAATGTCTTCTTTATTTGTCCATTTTGCACAGAATCAATCTCTAAATTGCATCGTGATTTAATTTTTAATATTTGGTGTCATACTGCGAAGAAATACTTGAACGTAGTTTCTTAGAACTCTTCTCATGTGTCGCTCAAAGTGTACATTTCCCACAGCTGTTAGATGAACCTCTGTAAGGTCGACAAAAACAAAGTGTAACTGTACAGACTCGCTCGTCTGTCATCAAATGTAATATACTGAATGCAGATCTTTAAACTGTAGATCCCTTACACTGTTAATGCAAACGATGATAAACTTCAAATCCAAACATGTCTGGTGCTTTTTCTTTTTCTTTTGCATTATTTTTGCTGAATATGATGCGGTCATCGTGTTCTCTTGTGATCACCTTCACGGCGTTTGCAGTTGTGCAGAGCTCGCTTCGTCGAATCAAATCGCTGAAGGCAGCAACCGTTCGTAGCCGAGGGAGAGGGGAAATCCAGTTCTCTTTACTGGTGCATAAGTGAGGGGCCCCAGGGCGATCCTGTGGCGCCCCACCACCTCCCCCCACCCGCCACCCCAGCCCTGCTGCTGGTAGCGCAGGCAGCGCAGCCCCAGCTGGAGGCCCCGAGCCACTGATGGGTTGGCCACTGATGGTGCTGATGCTGCTGCTGCTGCTGATCCTCCAATGAAACGCCAAGCTGGAGGGAGGCTTCACTGCCGCTGTAATATCTGAATGGAGTCTGGCTACAGAGCCTGTTTAACGGCGATGTTAATAAATGATACCGGCACGTCATCGTTGTCTGCAGAAATGATTACTTCCTCTGCTGTGACTTACCGATGTGTTGCGTAAAATGTTATACAGCAGCGGTCCCCAACCTGTGCCGCCAAATAATTTGCAAAACATTATGATTTGTGTGGAAACATTTCATTATTAAGAATTTTTTTTTTTCCTTTCTTTTTCTTGATCCTCCTTAGCAACGGTCATTACAGTCCTTGACAGCGGTCTGTACTACTGGATTGACAACGTGTCACATGTTCTGAATTGACCAATCAGAACTTTATTTAGTCTCCATATTGTCGATGGTTGAATGTGGGCCACGATATTTTTTAGATTCTTAAGAGGGCCCTGAGTTGAACAATGTTGGGAACCGCTGTTATACAGTATGGCATGATTTACATGTAACCTCAGTTGAAGTACTTTTCTTAGTTTTCTCAGTCAATGTGTACATTTTGAAAAACAAGGGCCAGTAGGCATAATATCATTTTTATTCCACTACAGGGGACACTTGATGTACTTTGCATTTTGGCTGAAAAAGTGTGTGTGTGTGTATATCGGCATCTGCAACCGTCTAAAAGGAGTTTAGGAAATATTGACTATCCAATATCTATATCCCTAAAGCCATTTTAAATCTTTATTTGTACAATGAAAATCCTCTGAGAAAAGTATTCAACATCTATTTTCCGCTCAATACAACTTTTTTAACTACATAGAAATCTTTTAATCTTTTTTAAGAGAGTTAACCTTCTCATATTTTTGATAATATAATCTCCCCTCAAGGTCTATTTTGTAGCATTAGATGTGCCCTGTTGTCAAGGACTGTTAGATGATTCTGACTTAGGGAACCTCTTGTCCATATTGGCCATTGACACTGACAAACAAGTATCTTGGTGTGATTTGCAGGCACCCTGAGCCCCTCTGAGCTCAGTCTTCTCCCTTCCCACCACTAGAGAGAGACAGTAAGCCTGACAAGTGATGAAGTGCTGGGTCCAGTGTACACTCTGAACACTTGTTTGTAATTAGGTGACCGCTGAAACGGCATTTCCATCTTTAGACTGAGCGAGAATCCTCACCACCATTAACACACTGACACGCCTCGCTCACCTCCTGTAATATCTGAGCGCTAATGCAGCCATAAGGTTGTTTTTAGGAGATAATGCACCTTTCTCTGCATTCCTGAGCACTAATGCAAAAGGACATTTTCACTTTTAAATGATTTTTCTCAAAGCTTCATGTGCTGCCTTTGTGAAATGACTCAATTCACCTCTCGTTTTTTTTATCAAAGCCACAGATAACTTTCCCTCCTTGAGTTCTTTGGATACACCACCTTGCTTTTCCCCATGTTTCACCCCCATCTGATAAAACACAATCAGCCTGTCTTGTGCACAGCCCCCCCCCCAACCCCTCATGGCCATATCAGCCCAGTTGCATATATGTGCATAAATGTGTTGGCGGTATCATCCTCCCACCTGTGTGTATTTGCATGGTTAATCTGCGTTAGAGGGGGCTGATGGGGGGGGGAGAGATAGGTGCTCCTCTCGTCCCCGGGCTCTTGAGGAATTGTATTGGAGGTTTAGCTCCCCGTCAATGGGATCAGCCGTAAATCCCGCTCAGAGTGTGGCAGGAAATGATGTGACTCCGGCAATTTATGTCAAATAACTTTTGAGGATGTGTGAGTGCAGCGATAACTCTCCGGCGGGGGGCCCCGGTGAAGATTTAATTGAGACATTTTTCTTTATCCGGAGCGAGGCGCAGGAGCCGTGTTGTTGTGTAACGAGATGTAATGTCTCTCTTTATACGGGGGTCAACATCCGGGATGAGGGAAGGTCACGGACTGACTGTTTGAGCATCCAATTTGCTCACGTAATACCCGCTCTGCAGGGAGTAAAAACATCAGAGGATTAACTCACACAGTCCACATATCACAGGCAGACATGACACCCTGTGCTGCGCAGTATTACCCATCCTCATGGCTTCATGTAGTCTCTGAGTGTAAGAACAAAAATGTTAAATGATGCGGTTACTGAGTCTGAACATTGTGACAGAACTGTTGACACCATTTTATAGTAATAGAATACCACACACAAATAAGTTTAATGGGATGTGCAGGCACCACAAATGTCCTCTTTAAACAAAGGTTACAAGACGTTAGCCCACTAGGGCAGTGGTTCCCAACCTGGGGGGCGCACCCCCTTGGGGGGGCGCCAAAGATCGCAGGGGGGGGCGCCAGGCCTCAGATGATTTGAGGCCAAATATAATATTTAGACTTTTATTATTTTTTTACATTTAAAAAAGAAAATTGTTTTACATATAATTGTAACGCAATACATGATTGTCACTAAAAGCCTTGTCTCTACATTACAATAAAATATAAAAAAATATTGATTAATTATTTTAATAAAAATTCAAGTTACTAGCTATTAAAGGCATAAAAAGACAGAAATGTATAATTCTTTCTATAGAAATGTTTCTTCTGCCCGTAAAGTTTCCAATCCAGGCTTGTCTGGATAAGCACATTTTTAAACTTCCAATAGGAGTCATTTGGGGGGGCTCTTGGGAAAAAACCCTGCTCTAGGGTACCTTAACCGAAGTAAATGTACTTATACTCATAAGTACTCACAATGCAGAATGTCTCCTGACTGTTATATGGTTATAATACAGCAGAGTTATCACTGGTCCATGTAAGCAGTATTTAATGTTGTAGCTGGTCAAGGTGATTTTCTGTGGCAGTACACTCTATAATAAAAGTGCTTCACATTTTGTAAGATGATCATTTGCATGTAGCTATATCAATCTGCAGTGATGGAAGAAAGTTTCCAGAATATTTTTAACGTACGAAGGACAAATGCATTACAAGTGAAAGTCCTGCAAGCAATTTGTTCCTAAGAGTGTTAATCAAAAGTAAAACTATTCATTATAAGTTTGAAGGGCCCCGTTAGTCTATTACATATTAGAAAATGTGATCATTATGAATAATAAGTAAGATTTAAACGATTTAACTAAGTTAATTTCAACATTTTCATAGCTTATTGTAACTAATTATATGACACTTTCTTTACAAAATACAAATATGTCAATCCACATAGTAATGCATTATATAATTTCCATCTTGAAATATTGTTAAAGTTGAACACACCATAACATAATGTGCTATTAAAATGCAAGTAACTTCAACATCTTTAACACAAATGCAGTACCTGTTTGATTAATGTTATTCCTGCCTCTAAAAAGTAGAAGTTACAGCAAAATCCAATCTGCAATTAAGTGCTTGAAAACTGCCTGAATTTACATAATAAAAGGCACTTTTTAGTTTTTTAATCAGTAGCAGAAGACACATGCTTGGTAGTAAATATGTTGGTTTCTTTATACACTTATTGATATTTTTTTCTTGTATTAACTTGTAATTGACGTTTTCCAAAAGTAAATCACATTCAATTTCAACTGATACTCAGGTTAGACTACTTTTTCTTACAGCTATCTTGTAGTTGTAACAGAATACATTTTAAAGACACCCTCCTTCCTGCCTGTTCATATATGAAATCCCTGATGTGTGCGTCCTGCATTGTGTCTCTGCTCCTCCTCCACAGCAGCATGGGGGCCTCTGATGAGATGCACGCTCACACGGGCAGCTCATAATTGTGGCCGTAGCTCATTATTGTCCCCGGGATGATTTGGACCCGCCGTGGGAGGGGGGAGGGGGAGGTGAACCTCGTCCTCTGACACCGCCACGTCCGACAACCACTCCAGGCACTGATTGGTGGGATGAAATATTGCCGGCGAAAATTAAAAGGTCCCAGTGTCAAAATAATTCATGATATGCATATCTTCCTCGGCTTGATGAAATCGCTGATATCTGGATTAGGAGGATAATAAAAGCGATCAGGCTACAGTTAAACTGTTCCAGCAGCGGCGTGGAAAGGAGGGGGGTGGTGGGGGGGGGAGATCTTCTTTATGTGTCAAGAGATTTGGGCTGAGGGGTCAAGATACAACAAGTGTGTGTGTGTGTGTGTGTGTGTGTGCGGTGCAGCTCCACACACACCTAGACCTGCGATTTGAATATCCACTGTAATTGTCCCAAAACGGCTCATCAGTGGATCTGCCTGCTGCCATTAGGGTCCAACAATATGGTGTGACATTCAAATTCCCCTCAATGACAGGTTATTAGGAGCCCCGAGCAGCCGGCACATAATTAAGCACCGTAACGCTGACCTGTAATATGAAGTGATGGCTCAGTCGTATACTGAGAGGACGGAATAGGTGCTTTGTTAAAACTCAGGACAACTGGGGGAGATTTTTCACACATGGAACAATCGTAAAAACACGACAGATGTCAGTGTAAAAACTCCACTGTGGAGGCAAATAACACAGGCTATGGTTTTAAAAACTGCACACCAGCTGCCATGGCAACAGCTGACAGATTATAGAGACGGATAAATCTCGTCAATAATGTTAAATATCAACAAAAGTAATTTCCCTCTTCTATAAGATGCCGGTTTATGTTATACAATTCACTCATCCTCTGGGAGCTGCGGGAACAAATCTTCTACAGGGAAA